ATCGCTTGATCCCAGGAGGCAGAGGTTGCAGTGAACCAAGATTGCACCATTGCACTACAGCTTGGGCAACAGGAGTGAAACCTGTCTCAAAAAAAAAAAAAAAAAAGACAGAAAAGAAAAGAAAAAAGGAAAAAGAAAGAAAAAAAAGGAACAACACAAGCCAGAACATGGTATGGCATCTTTAAAGTATGCCACATCTTTAAAGAGGAAAGAAACAATATCTCCAAAGTAACCTAGACTTCTATACCTAGCACACGTAACTTCAGAAATGAAAGCAAAATAAAAGAGTTTTCTACCTTAAGAAATTAGAAAAAGAAGAGCAAATTAAACCTAAAATCATAGAATAAAGGAAATAATAAAGATTAGAGTGGAAATCAGTGACATAGAAAGCAGAAAAACTTGGAGAAACTTAAACCAAAAGCTGGTGATTTGAAAAGATCAATAACATTGATAAACCTCTAGCCAAACTGATTATGAAAAAAGAGAAGACCTGCAGATTACCAATATCAGGAATAAGGAATATATACTACCTATAGAATATCTACAGGTAGTAAAAGGACAATAAAGGGATACTGTGACAATTTTATGTCAGTAAATTGGAAAACAGGTGAAATCAACAAATTCCTTGAAAGACACAAACTCTCAAAGCTCACTTAGGAAGAAATAGATATAGCCCCATATAAATGAAAGACATTAAATGTATGGTTTGGAACATTCCTACAAAGAAAAGTCCATGCCCAGATGGCTTCACTGGTGAATTCTACCAAATATTTAAGGAAGAAACAACTTGTTTAGAAAATTGAAAATGAGAAAATACTTCTCAGCTAAGTTTATGAGGCCAGCATTACCCTGATATTGGTAAGAAAGACAATTAACAAGAAAGCTGCAGACCAATATCATTTATGAATATTTATGCAAAAAATCTAAACTAACATGAACTTGGATTATTACCTTGTATACAAAAATCAGCTCTAAATGGGTCATAGATTAAATGTAATATCTAAAACTTAAAACTTCTAGAAGAAAACATAAGAAAAAAACCTTAAAGATCTTGGTTAAGACAAAGATTTCTCAGATACAACACCAAAAGCACAATCCATAAAAGAACAAATTGACAAATTGGTCTTCATCAAAATCAAAACTTCTGCTCTTCAAAATACACTGTTAAGAAAATGAAAAGACGAGATACAGACTGGGAGAAATATTGGCAAATAACCATCTGCTATAGTATTGGAATATATAAAGAACTCTCAAAACTTAATAATAAGAAAACAACTCAGTTTTTAGATTGAACAAAAGATTCGAACAGACTTTTCACCCAGAATATATACACATGGCAAATAAGCACATGAAAATATGCTCAACATCACTAGTCATTAGGGAAATACAAATCAAAACTATAAGGAGGTACCACCACACACCAAAAAGAATGGTTAAAATTAAAAAGGCTGTCCATATAAAGTGTTGGTGAGGATATGGGAGAACTGGAACTCTCATACACCACTGGTGGGACGGCAAAATGGTACAACCACTTGATCATTTCTTACAAAGTTAAACATATACCTACTGTACGGTCAAGTCATTCCATTCCTAGTTATTTACCCAAGAGAAGAGAAAGCATTATGTTCATACAGACTAGCAGCTTTATTTGTAATAGCCACAAACTGGAAGCAACCCAAATGTCCATTGGCAGGTAAATAGATTTGCAAACTGTGATATATCCATCCAATGGACTATGGCTTAACAACAGAAATAAATTATTGATACATGCATCAGCATGGATGAAACACAAATGACTGTGTTGAGTGAAAGAAGCCAGGCTTAAAAAAAAGAGAGAGTGCATACTGTATGAATCCATTTATGTAAAATCCTGGGGAATGCAAAGTGATGTATAGTGACAAAAAGAAGATCAGGGTCACCTGGGAATGGTTTGGGGTTGGTGGAGGGGGAAAGGGGAGGGAGGGATTACAAAGAAGCTTGAGAAGACCTTTCTGGGGTGACAAATGTCCATTTTCTTATTTGAGGTGATGGCTTCATGGGAGTACACATGTTCGCAATGCATCAATTTACCCCCTTTTAAAGATACACATTCATTGAATGTCAAACATACCTCAACAAAGCTATTTTTAAAAGAGATTAATGGCAAAGTCTATGGAAAAGACCAAACTTACTAGCTGTGTGACCTTCCCCAAGTTGCCAAACCTCTAGTTTCCTAATCTATAAAGTAGGAATCACGTTATTTTCCTTGTAGGGTTGTTGTGGCAATTAAAAATAACACGTAAGATATGTTTTGCACTAAAAATACGCTCAATGGCCGGGTGCAGTGGCTGAACCCTGTAATCCCAGCACTTTGAGAGGCTGAGGCAGGCAGATCACTTGAGGTCAGCAGTTTGAGACCAGCCTGGCTAACAGGGTGAAACCCTGTTTCTACTAAAAATACAAAAATTGGCCAGGTGTGATGGTGCATACCTGTAATCCGAGCTACTCCCAGTGGAGAGGCTGAGGCAGGAGAATCACTTGAAGCCGAAGGCAGAGGTTACAGTGAGCCGAGACTGCATTACTGCGCTCCAGCCTGGGCAACAGAGCAAGACTCTGCTTCAAACAACAACAACAACAAAAATGCTCAGTATGTGATGTAAATTTAAAAATGCTCGCAAAAGTAATAAGAAAAATAATCATCACTTGACCCCAAAACGTCCTGCTTTTGTATATCTGGAGGGCTTTCTATGAAGGGTTTGAAGGCCAGAGCCCTGGTCAGCTATGTAATTCCTCAAGTCACAGTTTCATGTACAGTGACTTGGAGTTCATTTCATGGTAAGATGTAACCCATTTCACCTATTCTTCCCACTCCCTCCTCCTTGTTCTTCCTAGTTTGGCCAGAGCTAAAAGGGGTTTCCCTCAGTCTCTGCCATTGTGCAGCCCTGCTCCCAGCCACCCCACCTTCACAGGCTCATCCTCCCCGCTCATTTGGGACCTGGAACCAAGTAGACTTGTAGGGAAGAAAACTTTCCTGGGGAGATTAAGAGAATGCATGCCGAGTACACAGCCCGGCTCCGGGCACGTTGAACACACAGGTACATGTTAGCAATTGCAGTTCCACTAAATGTGCCTGAGGTCTTTCTGTTCCAGCTGCTGGGTCCTCACACACCTGGAGAGCTCTGCAGTGGTCATGGGGCTAGTGGAGGCCCAATCCTGTTGTAGGAAAGGGTGGGGGCAGGAAAGCAGACATCAGCCCTGTCCTCATGGGTTTGCATTTCCGAGAACAGCCTTAGCAAGGGCCCTAGGACAGCCTCAGAGATGGGAGGGATCAACAGGAGCTGAAGCTGTGAAAATGCTATGAAACAAGAAGCTGTCCCATCTGTGAGTGTGTGGGTGAGAGTGTGTGTGTGTGTATGTGTGTGAGTGTGTGTGTGTGTTCATGTGTGTTTGGGATTTGTCATCCCCATTCCCCTAGCACAGTGCCTGGCATGTAATAGGACCTCTCTTGTTTTGGTTGAACAGTGAGTGGATGAGAATAAATGGAGCTAGTGGTGTAAAAGCAGGGGAGCAGGTGATCAGGAGCTGAGGCCCTTAGCAGAGAGTTAAGAGGGCAAGAAAGGAGCCTGCCTGGCTTGAATCAAAGCACACCCTGGGGGCAGTTGGATGTGAGTAGAGGTGGGGGTAGGGACTGAATGGCAGAATGGAGCATTTGAACTAGGTTTGAACTCTAGGCTGGGGGTTGTCTGGACATCTCTGGATGGCAGGAAGGTCCCTAGAGAGATGCAAGGGGCAGCCCTGCCCATTCACAGGGTTCACTTTCAGCTCTGTGGGCTTTCCAGCTGCTGTAAGCACGTACTTGTTTCCTGGTTTCCTAGACAGGCTAAGCCCATTGGAGAATCTTGTCTTCTATTCCTTTCTCCCACCCACAGAGGCACCTGCTCTGAAGGGACATCAGAGACCTCTTTCTCCTGTAGCAGAGGTCCTTGCTCCCAGCCAGAGGAGGGCTGAGAAGCCCCGGATGGAATGCTGATGCCCCCACAAATGCACATGTGCGTGCATGCCACTCACTCAGTGTCACGGTCATTTATGAACATCAGGGAGCCAGTGCCAAAGCCAACCAGAACATCAGCAGGGACTCCCATCCCAGCCAGGGAGCAGGGAACGGCAGATGGGCAGGCCATGGTGACTACGGGTCATGAGCTCAGGGCATGAGCGAGCTGGCTCCCATCCCACCAGGTCAGTGCTGACCTGCAGCTGGGACAAACAGCTCAGGGCTCTTGGACACAGGGCTTTGGGGCGGGCAGACCTGGTGCCTCTTGGTGCCTTCTGACCTTGCCCCTTTTGAGCCCTAAGAGCCCTCCCCTCTGGCACTTTAGATCATTCAGAGTTTCTAGAACCAATAAGCAACTTGAGGAAGGTGACACCTGGCCACACCAGAAGGTTGTTTCCCATGTGACCACCACATTGAGGTCTATGGGTGTTTGGTATACCCTGGTAGGCCCCTCAAGGGCAGCCTGGTTACTACCCCTGGTTCTGGGTGGCTTTTCCTTCCCTTTAAGGTACATCCCTGAGAACCTAAGAACTGAGCTAAAGTGAAGTTTTGAGTAGAGGAGCTATATCTATTTCTGCCCAGCCATGGAGAAGTGGAGCTTTCATGGGATCAGAGACAGATTGGAGCACAAGTCCTTTGGATAAAGGCTTCTTTATCTAGTGCTCTGAACTGGATAAGAGAGTCCAATCTCCTCTTCACCATCCAGCAGGGAGCTCCCCCATCTCTGCCTCACACCCTGGCTGCCCCCACCCAATTCAGAGCCTTGCTTCTCTTGCCTGGATGCCCAGGCAGTAGCCAGAAGGACTGAGCATTGGGCCTGGAGCTTGGAAAGCCCCCAACCCACCCTGAATGCGCATGCACCTCTCTGGCCGTGCCTGCGTGTGTGTGTGTGCGTGTGCGTTGACCTGCACGTGAATGCGTGGGACAGGAATCACTGCTGGAGCATGTTGCCCTCTGTCTGCCCATCCAGGTTACTCCTCGCTGCAGGACGAGCTGCTGTCCCCTGCCTCCCTGGGCTGTGCGCTTTCCTCTCCGCTACGTGCAGACCAGTACTGGAACGAGGTGGCCGTCCTAGACGCCATCCCCTTGGCGGCCACGGAGCATGACACCATGCTGGAGATGTCTGACATGCAGGTGTGGTCCGCGGGCCTCACGCCTTCCCTGGTCACTGCTGAGGACTCCTCTCTGGAGTGCAGCAAGGCTGAGGACTCTGACGCCACAGGTCACGAGTGGAAGTTGGAGGGGGCACTCTCAGAGGAACCACGGGGCCCCGAGTTGGGCTCTCTGGAACTTGTGGAGGACGACACAGTGGATTCAGATGCCACAAATGGCCTTATCGATTTGCTTGAACAGGAGGAAGGTCAGAGGTCAGAAGAGAAGCTGCCAGGTTCTAAGAGGCAGGATGACGCGACAGGTGCAGGGCAGGACTCAGAGAATGAAGTGTCTCTTGTTTCAGGCCATCAGAGGGGGCAAGCCCGAATCACATACTCCCCCACCGTGAGTCAGGTGACGGAGAGGAGTCAGGACAGGTAAGAGCTTGACTGCGGGAGCAGGGTCCCTTTTTGTCTTCTGGGCTCCTGGGTAAGATTGTGCCTGGCAGTGAGGACAGAGGTGTTGATGCCAACCCTGACCCTGGGTTCTAATTGCACAGGAGCAAATACATTCAGTCTGGCAGACGCCATATATAGGAGTGTAGGTGCCATCTGCAAAAGTCAGTGCCTCCCCAAGACCCCGCTAGGTATGCCCAGCAGGAGAGACCCCGAGGAGCACGGAGAGAGCACACATTGGGACATTAGGGCGATGGGAGAGCTCACTTACATACATTAGGGCACTTGGAGGTCTCACTTAGGGACATTAGCCTGCTGGGAGGGCTCACTTAAGGACATTAGGGCACCCGGAAGGCTCACTTACGGACATTAGGGCGCTGGGAGAGCTCACTCAGGGACATCAGGGCACGAGGAGAGCTCACTCAGGGACATCAGGGCACGAAGAGAGCTCACTCAGGGACATCAGGGCACCAGGAGAGCTCACTCAGGGACATCAGGGCGCCAGGAGAGCTCACTCAGGGACATCAGGGCACCAGGAGAGCTCACTCAGGGACATCAGGGTACGAGGAGGGCTCACTCAGGGACATCAGGGCACCAGGAGAGCTCACTCAGGGACATCAGGGTACGAGGAGGGCTCACTCAGGGACATCAGGGTACCAGGAGAGCTCACTCAGGGACATCAGGGCACCAGAGGAGGCTCACTCCAGGGACATCAAGGAGTACCAGAGAGCTCACTCAGGAACAAGAGGCGCAGGAAACTCACTCAGGGTATGAGGAGCACTGGGAGAGAGCTCACTCCGGGGACATAAGGGCACCGGGAGAAATCACTCGAGGACATCAGGGCAACCGGGAGGGCTCACTCGGGGACATTAGGAGCACCAGAGCTCACTCGGGGACATTAGGGCACCAGGAGAGCTCACTCGGGGATTGATAGGGCACTGGGAGGAGGCTCACTCCAGGGACGCAGGGCACTGGGAGGCTCACTTGGGAGACATGGGGGGCACGGGAGGGCTCACTGGGACATTAGGGCACCAGGAGAGCTCACTCCAGGGACATTAGGGCACCGGGAGAATCACTCCAGGGACATTAGGGCACCGGGAGAAGTCACTCAGGGACATTAGGGCACCGGGAGAATCACTCAGAACCCATTAGGGCACCGGGAAGCTCACTCAAGGGACATTAGGGCTGGGAGGGAGCTCACTGAGGACATTAGGGCACGGGAGAGGGCTCACTCAGAGACATTAGGGCACCGGGAGAGCTCACTCAGGGACATCAGGGCACCAGGAGAGCTCACTCAGGGACATCAGGGCACCAGGAGAGCTCACTCAGGGACATCAGAGTACGAGGAGAGTGCTCAGGGACATTAGGAGCTGGGAGCTCACTCAGGGACATTAGGGCACCAGGAGAGCTCACTCAGGGACATTAGGGCACCAGGAGAGCTCACTCAGGGACATCAGGGCACCAGGAGAGCTCACTCCAGGGACATTAGGGCACCGGAAGGGCTCACTTAGGACATCGGGGCACGGAGAGCTCACTCAGGGACATTAGGGCACCAGAGCTCACTCCCAGGGACATAAAGTGCCGAGAGGGCTCACTTAGGGACATAGGGCATGAGGATAACTCACTTAGGGACATTAGGGCACCGGGAGGACTCACGTAGGGACATTAGGGTGCTGGGAGGAGGAGCTCTTGGGGACATTAGGGCTCTGGGAGGCTCATTTAGGGACATTAGGGCACCGGGAGGACTGCTTAGGGACATTAGAGCAGCCAGGAAGGACTCACTTAGGGACATTAGGGCATGGGGAGGAGGACTCATTTGGGGTTCATTAGAGTGTGGGAGAACTCACTTAGGGACATTAGGGCACCGGGAGGACTCACTTAGGAACATTAGAGCATGGGGAGGACTCACTTAGGGACATTGGGGCACTGGGGAGGACTCACTTAGGAACATTAGAGCATGGGAGAACTCACTTAGGGACATTAGGGCACAGGAGGACTCACTTGGGGACATTAGAGCATGGGGAGTACTCACTTGGGGACATAGGGCATGGGGAGGACTCACTTGGGGACATTAGAGCTTGGGGAGGACTCCAGGAAATTAGGGCACTGGAGAGGACTCACTTAGGATCATTAGGGTGTGGGGAGGGCTCACTTGGGATGTTAGGAGGCTGGGAGGACTCACTTATGGACATTAGAGTGTGGGAGGACTCACTTGAGGTCATTAGGGAGCTGGGAGGGCTCACTTAGGGACAGTAGGGTGCCAGGGCTCACTTGGGGCATGTCGAGGCACTGGGAGGGCTCGCTTAGGACATTAGGAGTACTGGAGAGCTCACTTACGAGGACATTAGGAGTGCCTGGATTGCTCACTTAGGGATATTAGGGCGCCAGGAGGCTCGCAGGAACATTAGGGTGCCAGGATGGCTCATTCAGGGACATTAGCGCACTGACAGAGGCTCACTCAGGGACATAAGGGTGCACTTAGGTCCACTTAGGGACATAGGGCATGGGGATAACTCACTTAGGGACATTAGGGCACTGGGAGGGCTCATTTAGGGGCATTAGGGCACGGGGAGGGCTCACTTAGGGACATTAGAGCGTGGGAGGAGCTCACTTAGGGACATTAGAGCATGAGAGGGCTCACTTAGGGACATTAGAGCATGGGAGGGCTCACTTAGGGACATTAGGGCACTGGGATGACTCACTTAGGGGACATAGGGTGTGGGAGAACTCACTTAGGGACATTAGGGCACTGGGAGGACTCACTTAGGATCATTAGGGTGTCAGGAGGACTCACTTAGGGACATAGGGTGTGGGGAGGACTCACTTAGGGACATTAGGGCACCGAGAGGACTCACTTAGGGACATTGAGGCACAAAGAGGACTCGGGATCATTGGGGTGTCAGGAGGACTCACTTAGGGACATTAGGGCACCGGGAGGACTCACTTAGGATCATTAGGGTGTCGGGAGGACTCACTTGGGATCATTAGGAGGGTGTGGGAGGGCTCACTTAGGGATGTTAGAGGCACCAGGAGGAGGACTCACTTATGGACATTGGGAGAGTGTGGGGAGGAGAGCTCTTGGGGTCATTGGGGAGCTGGAAGGGAGTTCACTTAGGGACAGTAGGGTGCCAGGGCTCACTTGGGGCATCGAGGCACTGGGAGGGCTCACTTAGGACATTGGGGTACTGGGAGGAGAGCTCACTTACCGGACATTAGGGTGCCTGGATTGCTCACTTAGAGCCATTAGTGCATGGAAAGAAGAGGAGCTCACTTAGGGACATTAGAGGCGATGGGAGGGATCACTTGGGGACATTAGGGGCTGGGAGGGGCTGGGGACATTAGGGCGCTGGGAGGGGGCTCACTTGGGGACATCAGGGCACGGAAGAGCACTTGGGGACATAACAGTACTAGGAGGGCTCACTTAGGGACATTAGGGTGCCAGGAGGGCTCACTTAGGGACATTAGGCTGGCTGGGGAGGACCCACTTAGGAACACTGGGGCACTGGGAGGGCTCAGTTAGGGCCATTAGGGCACTGGGAGGGCTCACTTAGAGCATCAGGGTGCTGGGAGAGCTCACTTAGGGACATCAGGGCACCAGGAGGGCTCACTTAGGGACATCGGGGGCTTGGAGGCTCATAGGGACATCAGGGGCTTGGAGGAGGACTCACTTAGGGACATCAGGGCGCCGGAGGAGCTCATGGGGATATTAGGACACAGAGAGGAGCTCTTTTAGGAACACTGGGGCATGGGGAGGGCTTGCTTAGGGACGTGAGGGCACACAGAGGGCTCATACAGGAGAGCAATGATGAGGCTGGGGAGACTATGGAGTCAGTGTGCTGCTGGAGCTGGTGTTCTGAGCTCCTCTCCCTCTGCGTGCTTCCGGTTGAAGGCCATATTTAGTTGAAGACCATATTTAGAAGCACCAGTACCCAGGGAAGTTATTTGTGTGCAGTCACACAGCCTGCATGTGATGGAGCTGAGAATGGCGCCCTCCCTACTTATCCCCTTTGAAGGAGGAGCTGAGGTAAGGCTTATCTGGGGCAGGACAGAGCTTTCAGCTGTAGAGCAGTGAGTCTCTCCTCCCAAGCTTCCTGGGCTGAGAAGACCCCCACCGTGCTGCAGCAGAAAAGCAGCGTCGGCAGAGTCAAGGAGAAAGTGCATTTAGACACTACGGGGGAGTCTGCAGCGAGGCAGAGCTCACCTTGGAGCTCTCATGCGTCCCATCTGGGCCCACACAGTGCCTACTGTGTCCACACTGCGCCCTCCGCTGAGTGCAGGGAAGGATGCCAAGGCAAGCCAGGCCCTTGCAGTTACAGAAAGAGATGAGACAGACATGAGGTGGGGCTCACGTTGTCCCTCCTGGGCTAGCACAGGAAGCAGATGACAGAGAATCCCCTTTCCTTCCAGGTCACCTGGCTTGCTAGGATTTTCCCTAAAAAAGAAAGGACACGGTTCTTAGCCCATTGCCCCCAGGCAGCTGTTCCAGGCCCCCACCCCAAGGAGCTCAGGACTGGCCAGGTAAAGGAAAGCTATTCGTGTCCTTTCCCCCACCTGTGCTGACCCCTCAGTCCCACCCTGAGGCCCAGGCTGGTAGGGTCATTCCACAGGATCCGTTCAGCGTAGCCCCAATGCCCTAACAGGGAGGAAAGGAAGTAGTTTGGAAGTTGAGACAGCAAAGGTCGATTTTTTTCCTCCACAAATCCTTGGATTCATGAGGGAGGATTGAACAGATGGAGCTTAAGCGATTGTGAAGTGAAACAGTGGCCTTCCCGGGAGAGAGCACCTTCCTGGGGCGGCGTTCCTTCAACAAGCATTTATTGAGCACCTGCGAAGGGCTGAACGCTGGCCCTGCATTGCCAGCATTGCTAACTGGGGACAGGAGCGCCTGGGCTCTAGGCCTATTGTGTCACTTCCTGGCGCGGTGACCTTGGTCAGCCTTCTAATGGGGACAGATGAATTTCATCCACTCACTCAACAATATT